CAAAACCACAATGAGATACCACCTCACACCTGTCAGAATGGCTAAAATTAACAACACAAGAAACAACGGGTGTTGGTGAGGATGCGGAAAGGTGAGGATCTTACACTGTTTCTGGGAATGCAAACTGGTGCAGCTGCTCTGGAGAACTGTACAGAGGTTCCTCAAAAAACTAAAAAAAGAACTACCCTATTATCCAGGAATTGCACCATTAGATATTTACCCAAAGGATACAAAAATACAGATTTGAAAGGGCACATGCACCCTGTTTATAGCAGCACTTACCGAAAATAGCCAAACTATGGAGAAAGCCCAAATGTCCATCAACTGATAAACAGATAAGTAAGTTGTGGCGCGCGCACACACACACACACACACACACACACACACACACACACTGGGATATTAAGCATAAAAAAGAATGAAATCTTGCCATTTGCAGCACTGTGGATGGAACTAGAATGTATTATGCTAAGTGAAATAAGTCAATCAGAGACAAATGCCATTTAATTTCACTTATATGTGGAATTTAAGAAACAAAATAGATGAACATAAAGGAAGGGGGAAAAAAGAGAGAAGGAAACAAACCACAAGACACTCTCATCAATAAAGAACAAACCGTGGGTTCATGGAAGGAGGACAGTGGGGGATTGGCCAGATGGGTGGTGAGTACTAAGGAGGGCACTTGTTGGGGTGAGCACTGGGTGTTGTATGTAAGTGATGAATCACTGACTTCTACTCCTGAAACCAGTATTGCACTGTCTGTTAATTAACTAAAATTAAAATAAAAAAATTAGGAGCACCTGGGTGGCTCAGTGGGTTAAGCGTCCAACTTCAGCACAGGTCATAATCTCGTGGTTCATGGGTTCAAGCCCTGCATCAAGCTTGGTGCTGACAGCTCAGAGCCTGGAGCCTGTTTCAGATTCTGTGTCCCACCCCCCCCCTGCCCCTCCCCTGCTCTCTCTCAAAAATAAACAAACGTTAAAAACAATTTTAAAAAATTAAACCCATAAAATAAAATAATTTTTATTAAAAAATAAAAAAATAAAGTTGAAAGAATTTGTATGGATCTCCTGGGACTCTCAAGATCCACAACGATTTTGAAAAAGAACAAAGCTGAAGTCTCGCACTACCTTATTTTAAAACTTACTACCTGAAGCATTCAAGAGTGAAGAGACACATTAGTAAGATGCCAGAATAGGAGGTTGTCTACTCCTGTCACCCCCACTAACAATAATTTGGCAGAGTACAAAAGTGCCTCTATAGGAGTTTTGGGCTCCAGTAGGAAACTGTAAAACCAGGGACCTACCAGGAGACACGCCAGTCCATGTGGCCAGAGGTAAACACACTACATAAAGATTAAGGGGTCAACTCATTAAGAGGATATAACAATTTTAAGTATATATGTGCCTAACGATAGGGACATCTAATCATACAAAGCAAGTACTACCAAGAGTGAAAGAAGAAACAGACAGCAATATAATAGTAGAAGGGTACTTCTTTTTATTTATTTTTATTTTTTTAATGTTTATTTATTTTTGAGAGAGACGGAGACAAAATGTGAGTGGAACAGGGGCAGAGCGAGAGGGAGACACAGAATCCGAAGCAGGCTCTAGGCTCTGAGCTGTCAGCACAGAGCCTGATGAGGGGCTCGAGCCCATGACCTGTGCGATCATGACCTGAGCTGAAGCTGGATGCTCAACTGACTGAGCCACCCAGGCGCTGCAGTAGGGTACTTCTATACCACACTTAACATCTGTGGATAGATCATCTAGGCAGAAAATCAATGAGGATACACTGGACTTGAATAACACTATAGAGCAAATGGACCTAACAGACATATACAGGAAATATGCCACCCAACAGTCGCAGAATGCACCTTCTCAAGTGCACATGGAACACTCTCCAGGACAGATAATGTGTTAGATTATGAAACAAGTCTTAACTTTAAGAAGACTGAATTCATATCAAGTATTTTTTTTCCAACCACAATGGTATGAATCTAGAAATCAATTACAGGAAGAATGCTGGAAAGTCACAAATATATGGAAATTGAACACACTCTTGAACAATCAATGGGTCAAAGAAGAAATAAAAAGGAAAATCAAAAATTATCTTGGGACAAACAGATTGGAAAAACAGAATACTGAAACCTATGTAATGTAGCAAAAACAATTCTAAGGAAGAGTTTATGGTGATAAAAGCCTATTTCACAAAAAAAGAAAGATATACAATTAACAATCAAACTTTACATGTCAAAGAACTAGAAAAAAAATAAAAAGCTAAATCCAAAATTAGCAGAATAATACAATTTAGAGCAGAAATATATCAACTAGGGACTCGAAAAACAATGAAAAAAAATCAGTAAAACCAGGAGTGATTTTTTAAAATGATAAACAAAACCGACAAATCTTTAGCTAGATTAACCAAGAAAAAACAAGGACTCATACAAATAAAATTATAAATGAAGGAGGAGACATTACAACTGATACCACAGAAATAAAAAGAATCACAGGAGACAAGTGTTAGCAATTAAAAACCAACAAATTGGATGACCTAGAAGAAACGGATACATTCCTAGAATCATACAACCTAACAAAAGTGAATTATGAGAAAGAAAATTTCAAAATGCCAATAATGAGTAAAAAGATTGAAGCAATAATCAAAGTCCTCCCAACAAAGAAACATGTAAGACTAGATGGCTTCACTAGAGCATTCTACCAAACATTTAAAGAAAAATAATGCCAGCTGTTCTCAAACTCTTCCAAAAAACTGATGGGAAGACTCCCAAACTCATTTTATGAGGTCAGAATTACCCTCACACCAAAACCAAATAAGGACACTCCCAGAAAAGAAAGTTACAAACATGACAAACATAGATGTGAACATCCTCAACAAAATACTAGCAAACTGAATTCAAAGGCATTATTAAAAGGAGCATACACCACCATCAAGGGGGAATTTATCCCTGGGATGCAAGGATGGTTCAACATACGCAAATCAATAAATGCAAGACACTGCCTTAATAGAATGAAAGGTCAAACTCATACAAGCACCTCAACAGAGACAGAAAAAGCATTTGGCAAAATTCAACATCCTTTCAAGATAAATGGCTCAATGAAGTAGGTGTAGAAGGAAAGTACCTCAACTTAATAAAGGCCATATTTGGCAAGCCATAACTAGTATCATACTTGATGCTGAAAAGCTGAATGATTTTCCTTTAAGATCAGGTACAAAGACAAGGTTGCCTACTTCTATTCAAGGTAGTACTGGAAGTCTGACCCAAAGCAGTAATTCAGATAAAAGAAATAAAGTGCATCCAAATCCAAAAGGTAAAAGTAAAACTGTTTGCAGATTATGTGATCTTAAATACAAATTCTACAAAAAAATCCACCAAAAACCCGTTAAAATGGATAAATGAATTTAATACAGTTGCAGGACATAAAATCAACATTCAAGTATCAGTTGTATTCCTATAGATATCAACTACCAGAAAGAGACTTAAGAAAATAATACTATTTACAATAGCATCAAAATTAAAAAAAAAAATACTTAGGAAGAAATCTAACCTTGATTATGAAACATCTGTACACTGAAAACTATTAGACTTTGATGAAAGAAACTGAAGATACAAATAAGTAAGAAGATACTCCGTTCATGGATTGCAAGCATTAATATTATTAAAACTCATACTACCTCAGGCAATCTACAGATTTAGTATTTGTTACTAAAAAGCCACAATAATCAAAACAGTGTAATGACAAAAAGACATGCATATATAGATCAATGGAAGAGAGAGACCAGAAATAAATCCTCACATATAAAGTGAAATGGTTTTTGACAAGGGTACCAAAACATTGTGTCAAGAGGAAAGTCTTTTCAATGAACACACTAGGAAGTGTGAAGAATGAAGCTGGACTCCTACCTTACACCATATTTAAAAAATTAATAGAGCAAAGACCTACACATTAAGAGCTAAAACTATAAAACTCTTTTGAAGAAAACATAGAAAAGATCCATGACGTTAGATTTAGTAATGATTTCTTGAATACGCCAAAAGCACAGGTAACAAAAGAAAAAAAAGATACGTGAAAGATTCTATCAACAGAAAATAGACAGGCAAGCCATAGAATGGGGAAAATATCTGGAAACCATACATCCATCAAGAGAGTAATGTCCTGACTATTCAAAGAAATTCCACAATTCAACAACAAAACAAACCACTTGGTTAAAAATGGGCAAAAACCTGAATGCGGAGTTTTCCAAAGAAGATACTCAAATGGCAAGAACAAGAAAATGTGTCCAACATCACAAATTGTTAGGATTACCATGGCTATTATCAAAATAACAGGTAACAAGTATTAGGGAGGATGTGAAAAAAATCACAACCCTTGTACACTGCTAGAAGGAATGTAAAATGGTGCAGCTGCTACAGAAAATGGTATAATAGTTCCTCAATAAACTAAAAGTTGAATTACCATATGATGCAGAAGTTCTACCTCTGGGTATATACTCAGAAGAGTTGAAAGCAGGATCCTGAAGAAATATCTGTACACCCATGTTAACAGCACCAATATCCAATATCCACAATATCCAAAAGGTGGATGCAATTCAAGTGCCCGCTGACAGATGTAGACAAGATCTGGTATATACATACGATGGAGTATCATTCAGGCTTAAAAAACGAAGGAGATTCTCACACGTGCTGTAGCGCCGATAAAACCCGAAGACATTTTGCTAAGTGAAATAAGTCAGTCACAAGGGGACAAACATTACATAATTCCATTTATATAATGTGCCTACTGTAGTCAAATTGGTAGAGACAGAAAGCAGAATAGTGTTTGCCAGGGTATGGCAGTGGGGTAGATTGAGGAGTTAGCATTTAATGGCTATGGAGTTTCAGTTTGGGAAGATGAAGAAAGTTCTGGAGATGAATGGTGGTAAATGGTTGCACAGTACTGTGAGTATATTTAATGCCACTGAAAAGGCACTTTGAAAAATAATTAAAATGGTAAATTTTATATTATGTATACTTTATCTTAATAAAAAAAATAAAAGTTACCAACAAGCATCAATAATAAAACACTTCGTAATTACCCAATCATGTTTTCTTGAACTCATCAGTCACAGAGTAGCTTCCAGACGCTTCTTGACAAGTCTTGCTTGGTAACTAGACACCGCCTTTTGGAATATGGGATGCTTCCAGCTGAGATCCTGCAGCCCAGGTAAACTGAGTTGGAGAATTTCATATCAACATCCTGGCATAAGCCTGCAACCCAACCTCTCCATTTTCTTTTTTTTCTCTTCCTTCAAGAAGTTAGAATTTAGAAACACATTTCCTCTATTTCTTTACTTCAAAATACCTGGCCAAAACCATGAATGAATACATTTTAATATCAAGCTATACATAAATGAAACTGAATGAAGTACAACCATCCAACAGTATGTATGAATGTTAGGTACATCACATTGACTCAAAAAAAGCCATGTCACAAAAGCAGGACACATGACCATTCTAATTTCAAAGTAAGAACCATACAATTATTGTTTATAGATTTATAATTATTATTTTTAAAAGGCAAATCACTGATACACACTTGTGCACACACACACACACACACACACACAAACACACACACAATTTTGAATAGCTGCTGTCTCTGGGAGGGAGGAGATAGATAGGGCAAGAGTATCCCAGTGGATACACTCTCACTCTTTCATGGCCAATACCGTTATCCTTCGGCGAGGTAGTGGGTTCACAGGTCACATTCTATTGTGCTCCACAACCTGCATATTTGTCATATGGTCTCTACACATACAACATTTTTGTGTTTCAGAAGCAAGAGTCTCAACTACAAGTCTGGTGAACGGGCATGGAAAGGAGGAGACTGTACGAAGGAATTCTACCTTGCTTCTTCCTCAGAACTTGGTTTGTCCGTAACAAGTCGGGGGCACCCGGGGCCAGTGTGCCATATCTGGGCCCCTAAAACTAACCATGAGCCTGTTTTCCTCAGGTTGGGAGCTTTTTGAGACGGTGCAGAGGCCACTTTCCAAACAAACGGGGCTTCCCAAACTCCACTCCTACCAGGGGGAAATCATTTGCTTTGCTCTGTAAATGCTTATCTGCAGCTTCCTGCCTGTGATCATCCCCATAATCTAGAAGTTGTACATTTTCATTTTCTGTGCCTCCACCCCACAACTGGTTTGAGCTGCGTCCCTCCTTCCACCTTATGGAAAGTAGCAAAGGCCATCTCAATCTTTTGAACTTCAAGACCGGTAAGATATTTTAGTCACTGGAAGACCCCAAGCGCTGACAGTCTTTCCTATACCTAACAGGTTTCCTCAAGTCATTTTTCTAATGTCAGAGATGAGTTTTGAAATTGATTACATCATCTACTTATAATTTTTTAAACTGCTGTTCTGTTTCTGTAAATATTTTTTCAATTAGTTTCTATACATGGCAAGTTATAAATTGGTTTCATTTATTATTACTAATACACATTTTTCTTTTAGAGAGAAATGTTTATAAATCAAATTACAAGCTGCTTTAAATAAAAATAGATTAATGTAGTTGGGCTCCACGTATTTTAAAGATTATAAAGAAACTTCTGGTAAGGCTTAGTCGAGAATCCTGGACTTTACCCAACTCCTTAGTTCTGGCAACAGAACTCCCATTTTTACCTATTTCCAGCCCACAAAAATCTCAAGATGGTTGCTGTGGCCCTGAGCTTGCATCTGTGAAAACCAGAGAAGCAGGTCTCTGAGGACAGTCTGCCACCACTGTGGTTGTCCAGGGAGAGTTGAGTCACGAGGGTATGAGATCCGGGGTGTCCTGGACGGGAAGGGCCCAAGGAGTGGAGCCATGAGCCCCACCGAGCACTGTAGGGACACCTCCAGCTCCAACTCCCACCCTTCCTTCAGAACTCTCACTTTCTCTTCAAGTTCCGGTCATCTCCATATTCCTGCCTGTTTTTCCCCTAACTTTACCCGTATCATCTCTTAGGAGGCATGAATTATGTAAGACAGAAGGGAATCGACACTGCTTTGTTTCCACCCTGTGCCCTTTAACCCTTGCAACAAACATGGGCGACAGTTCACAAAGAAGGGAGTGGAGACTCAGGGCGAGGAGGTTGCTGGTCTAGTAAGTAGCTGAGTCGGGACAGCACCCAGGTCTACAGGTTTACACGGACCCACTTAACTCCTGGTTCTCTACTGGGGTTACGGGACCCAGGGAAGGCTGACAGCGCTCTCTGGAAGAGCTCAATTGTTTGGTAAGTCAAAAAGCATTCTTGTATCAGCTCTACACTACGTCAGAGGTTTCGTGGAGCCAGACACACACAGGTGTGAGAAGTAGGCCAACCCAGGCAAATACTCAGCAAATGACAGGTCCTGGAGAACTTACAGGAGAGCTGTCTGAAGTCTGCAACACAGAACAGCTATAGTTTTGAGTGTCTGATCTGCAATCAAGATTTTCCTTCACTCAGTAGGGTTGTAAGGCTTTCCTGTGTGTGTGATCCCTGAGGTAAGTTCTACCACATTCATTCCATTCAGTGTTCCTCTTACCGTGAGAGTCCCCTGATGTTTTCTGAAGTCCAATTTATGGCTGAAAGCTTCCCCACATTCATCACATTAATACATTCCTCCCCTGTAGGAGCTTCCTGATGTCCTGTGAGGACTGATCTAGAGGTGAAGGCTCAGCCATGCTCTCTACAGTCATAGGGTTCCTCCCCTGGGTGAGTTCTCTGCAACAATCGTAAGCCAGATATCTCGCTGAAAGCTTTCTCACCTTCATCATATTTAGAGAGTTTCTCCCTTTTATGACCCTCCTGATGTCCTCTGAGGATTGATTTGTAGGTGAAGGCTCTGTCACACTCATTACACTTATATAGTCTTTCCCCCGTGTGAGTTCTCCGGTGTAATTGTAAGCCAGATTTCTCGCTAAACGCTTCCCCATACTCATCACATTCATTCGGCTTCTCCCCTGTGTGAGTTGTCCGGTGTTTTCTTAGGCCTGACTTCTGACTGCACGCCTTCCCGCATGTATTACATTTGTACGGCTTCTCCCCTGTGCGAGTTCTCTGATGCATTCCTAGGCTTGACTTCTGGTTGAAGGCCTTCCCATACTCCTTACATGCATAGGGCTTCTTCCCTGTGTGAGTTGTCTGATGTGTTCTGAGGGGTGAATTCTGGGTGAAGGTTTTCTGACATTCATTACATTCATAAGGCTTCTCCCCTTTGTGAATTGTCTGATGGGTTTTGAGAGTTGACTTCTGCACCAAAGGTTTTCCACATTCACTGCACTCATAGGGTTTCTCCCCTGTGTGAGTTCTCTGATGGACTCTCAGGTCTGACTTCCAGCTGAAAGTTTTCCCACATTCCATACATTCGTACGGTCTCACCCCTGTGTGAGTTCTCTGCTGTTTCCATAGGCTTGACTTGTGGCTGAAATCTTTCCCACATTCATTACACCTGTAAGGTTTCTCCCCTGTGTGAATTCTCTGGTGCATGAGGAGGTACGATTTCTTACAGAAGCATTTCCCACATCCGCAACACTCCTAGGGTTTCAACCTTATGCGAGTCCTCTGACGTACCCTGAAGGCTGACTGGGGGCAGAGGGCTCCCCTATGTTTATTATAATCACAGAATTTCTCTGGTGTGTAAGCTGAATTATGGCTGAAGTTTCGTCCACATTCAAAGGGGGTCACCTCCGCCTAATTTCTCTGGTTTGTTCTTCTTGTGTGTGACCCCTGGTCGAAACTTTTCCCTCCTGTGTCAGTTCTCTGAAAATGAATAAATAAAACTTGCCACAAATGTCTGTCTTGGATTTGTTGGCTCTTCTCTAAGAGGTTATCATCTTGGCAGTCTTCTAAAAATGAGAAAATTAAAAATATGAATCTTATGAATCTTAAGACACATTTCTTACAGGGAGGGAGCCCATATACACAGAGTCTGTTATATATTTGACTCTTTGGTTCTAGTCCGGTCACACAAGATTAAGTAATTTGAAGTATATATTTCCTATACTGCTTTCATTTGAAAATAAATTGGCTGGAGTGGGGAAAAAAAGGAAAACAAACTGGCAATGAATATATATGTACATATGACATTTAAAAAATGTGATTTTCAAAACTACATGGAAGAGAAGTACAGGAAAGGAACAATGAACACACGAGAATAGTTGAGTTTGGGAACTCGACAAACCGAAGAATGAGATCAATTCAGCAAAGATTATGGACAGTAAGTGTGGACGAGGAGTATTAGTGGGTAAGGCTTTCAAGGTATACATAAGAGACAGGGTTAGGATCACGGATCCTGTATTCTACTGCAAAATACAGATTATGGGACAGGAAACTCGTTAGTCTCCATGCTTCTATTTGGAGCTTTCTTTTCTTTTTTCCCTGAGTTTATACATTAACACCAAAATACACAAATAATAGCATAATTTCCTTCCAATAATAATAATAGAAAAAACAGGTCTCTACTCCAAACTCAAACTCTCCTGGCTGTTTTTCACAGGAAGACAAATACACAAGGAAGGAGAAGTATACAACTACTGAGAAGAAAAGCCATCTCTCAGCCTGGGGTGAATTTCCTGCCCTACGTTGGCTCTGGTGCCTTGGTACATGATGTTAAGGTTGTTCTATAACAATACTCTCCTGATCATCAGATTGTAAGTTTTCTTTCAATGTGCTTACTCTCTTGAAACAAACCCATCCAAGAGTAATCCGTCAGTCAGCATTCCATCAATGTTTCAACATACATGATTTCTACTGGTTTCTAGAACCTTAAGGATTATGTTTCACCTTGTTTTTAGACTTTAGACATCCTTTATGTTCATTTATCATAAAAGACTTTACTTTTATCCCTGGTATGCTTGACTGCTATTACTCAGTTGCTACCCACAACAATTCCAGCAACAGTTTCAGGCCTGTACTGAAATTTAAGATGGTCCTAAAACCACTGCCTCAGGTTCCATCAGACAAGAGTCAGGAGACGTTCTGGAAAACAAAGTTTTGCACCAATTCAGGAACATTAGCTGTTCAAGCCAGTATTATGGAAGTCCACGGTATTTTCTGCAGGTCGTCTGGCTAGGCTGTTTGATCCCCCTTACATGAATTCATTCCAGCAAAAATCTTGCCCCACATTATTTCTCTAAGTTACCATGCATTCCTTTTTTAGCTCAAACTCTACATATCCTTCAGGAAAAGACTCTTCTCAAGTTAAAAAACAAAAAACAAAAAACAAACAACCCTTCTTATATCGCTCCATGAATTTAAACACCATTTACTTTAAATCTGAAAGCAATTAAGTCTACGCCACTCACTTGAACAACAGATACGTGAAGAGCAGTTACATATATTGAGACACAATTTTTTAAAGTAAATTATCATCACTGCAATCACAATGCAGCTTAAAATTGATGACACCTGTCCATTTCCTCTCTTAGGCATATCTAAAATAATATTTTATCTTTTAACGGATGGTATTTTAGATGCTATGAAATCCATTTTGTGCAGCTATGCTGTGCTTTATCCAAAACAAAACCTTGATTCTCTGATTTTCCTTGCACTCCTCTGTGATACAGAGAGGGTCCTTGAAATACCGTGTGCCTGGAGCTCCCTAGACCTCTCTGTGACCCATCGGCTCAGACGTAATACCAATGTATACCTGATGATTCACAAGTCACAGGAATGTGGCTAGGGCATGTGCATTCAATTCGAAGTACCTTTCCCCTAAACAGCTTCAGTGTCAATCAAATGTAATTATGAAATATATTACATTCCAGAATAGGGAAAAGTAAGAGAAAATTTTTTTTTGGTAGAATACAACACACACACACACACACACACACACACACAGTATGTATTTATAGTTAGTTTTCAGTATATCAAAATATTATGAATAATTTCTATGTGTAGAGTTTTGGGATGTGCTTCTTCATGCCAGGTTTCTTAGCTCCAACCCCATTACACACTACAGCTATATAATGGCCCATTGTTTGAATATATCTTTCAGTGGACTCCTAAATATGGAAGTTATTTCTAGATTTGCACTTATACATTCAAACTTTTCCCAGTAATTGTGCCAATTTACACCACTGCCTGCCTTGTGGACGTTTCTCTTGCCTCATCTCTTAATTATTCGTGGCACTAGTGGGATGAGTCCAAAATCATGGTACTGTGGTCTGAATTCACATTCCTGAGATTGCCATTAATGTTACATATTTTTCATGTTTATTAGTCATTTTTACGCCCTCTTTGTCCTTTCTTTCTAATGAATTGACTTTATATTCGCAATTCTTGGAAGTTCAATAATATAAGCCTATTTGAATGTCAAATTACATACCAGGGGATGAGCCAGTGAGCACGACAATAAAAAAAATACTGCTTCTCAGAAAGCATATGTTCCAGAAGAAAAAGGTAGACAGTAAACAAAATGTAATGCATATTTGATATATGGCGTGTTAGGTAATGAAGGCTTTGAAGGGGAAAGGGGGGGTGCAGAGATAGACTGCCTGAGTTCAGCAGTCATGGGCAGCCATACTGAAGAGACACTTAAGACCTGGATTCTTTATTTATTGAAGCAAACCTTCTGTGATGAATATTTGTAGTGAGTATTATCTACCATTGTTTATCTTGTAACTGTCAAGCTCTCTGAAACCATGAAATTCTTCTGGGCAGTTTAACAAAATGACAGGGAGTGGAGTCACCATCCACACCGAGGAACAGAGAGCCTGACCACATCGGGGAAAACCAATGTATTCTTTCCAGAGCACAACTTTCTTCATGCTTCCACGTCACATGACTCACAAAATTCACAGCAATACCTTCCTGATTTTTCTTTAGAGTTTTACAAACTGTGCATACAACCCTAAAGACATACAATTTAATTTTACCAGCTGCTTTATAAAAACTGAATCATATAGCTTGCTATCATCATTTTCGTCTTATTCTTTTGTTCAATATTGTGTGCAAGATTCACCTATGGTTTTGCTATAGTTATATTAGTACGTTATCTGTGATGTATAACACTCCATAAAATAAATGTGATTTATTTCTGTGCTCATCTGTTGATGGCATTTGGCTTGTTACTCCATTTGCAAAAGCAATTCACCAGTTCACACTTGCATGACCAGTGGATGCAGGTCTCTACTGCCCCCCGCCTCCGACTTCATACTGTCAGTGTTCTTATTTTCTGCCAATTTCTTTTTATCTAAAAAAAAGTTTTTTTAATGTTTTTATTTATTTTTGAGACAGAGACAGAGCATGAACAAAAGAGGGGCAGAGAGAGAGGGAGATACAGAATCTGAAGCAGGCTCCAGGCTCTGAGCTGTCAGCACAGAGCCCGACGCGGGGCTTAAAACCACGAACTATGAGATCATGACCTGAGCCAAAGTTGGACTCTTAACTGAATGAACCACCCAGGCACCCCAAAAACAGTGTTGAAGAGTAAAAATAAAATACTATTTTTCTTTCCATTTATGTGTATTATTTTTTGAAAATGCTACTAGGGTTTAGAGCTAACTACTTTATAAACAGAACTTTTGGTATTTCTTTTAACACAGAGTTACTGTGGTAAAATTATGGAGACACAAAGGGCAGAGGGAACCAAGAAATAATGCCAGAAATATTTGGCAGAAGACCTTACATGCCACATACGGGGTAGATACTGATGAGGAGTTAATCAAATATCTGTTTCCATACTCAAGCTCTCCATTGCCCACTTCTGCCTAAAGGCTTGGAAAATCTTTTTTATTTTTATTTTTTTTTTAACGGCTTGGAAAATCTTAAGGTAGCTAATGTGACATAATTATAGCCAAATAAAAAAAAAAACTTTTTTAATGTTTATTTATATTTGAGAGAGAAAAAGAGCATGAGTGGGGGAAGGGCAGAGAGAGGAGGAGACACAGAATCTGAAGCAGGCTCCAGGCTCTGAGCTGTCAGCACAGGGCCCAACACAGGGCTCGAACTCACAGACTGTGAGATCATGACCTGAGCTGAAGTCAGGTGCTTAATAACTGAGCCACCCAGGCGCCCCTTTAAAAAAATTTTTTTTTAATGTTTTTATTTATTTTTGAGACAGAGAGAGACAGAGCATGAGCAGGGGAGGGGCCGAGAGAGAGGGAGACACAGAATCTGCCAATTTCTTCAATGTATGCTGGCAACATGATACTGTTTCCATATTTTTCTCAAAACTAATCAGATTAAATAATTCCCCCCATATTTACTAAGTGTGGATTTCCTTTCTGGGGAAGATTCTGATTAAGTCTTTTGCGCATTTTTTTTATTAAGCTACCTGTCTTTTTCCTCAGACTTGTAGAAGCGCTTTATAGATTGTAGATACTAGGTTTATCTTAGTTGCGTGCATCACAAATAGATTCTGCTATTCTGTGGCTTGTCTTCTCATAGTTTTTACATAATCTTTTAACATCTAGATATTGTGACTTTTAACATAGTCAAATTTATCACATTTTTCCTACATGGTTAAGTGTTTTTTGGTCTTAAGTCTTTCCCCACCCACAGCGATAAAGATTTTCTATACTATTTTCTAAAATATTTTATTTCACCTAATATAATTCCACCCCAAGTTGATTTTTGCTATATGTGTAAAGTACAGGTACAAGAAATCAATTGTTTAAAACGTGTTTATTCCTGGGCTACTTCAATGATTTGTTTAATTATAGTTACAGGAGTGTAATCAATCATATTGACAGGAGTTTCGCTCAGTAGCAGCTAGAGAAAAGTCCCACAACATTGTTTCTCAAAGATGTTTTAAATTATTATTGGGCCTTTGTTATTTCCATATAAATTTTATTTTTACTTATGTATGTATGTACACATTTAATTTCCACAAAATTTTAGAACCAGCTTACCAAGTTTCACAAAAACCAAAACCAAATGAGTTCACCTGGTATTACAATGCATCTTTACATATATTAAGAGTATTAAGAGCTTTAATATCTCTCCAATTAAAGACTATTCAACATCTCTCCCAGTTTTTCTAAGTTTCCATCTACCTATCCTATGTATATTTCCAAATGTTCACCTACTCTATTACTAGAGACGTGTGCATAGTTATTTCTTAGAAATGACTGTCTCTTTGAGAACCACCATCTGGCTAGTTATTATTTACACGCCTGTAGTTTTCCAACTCACTGATTTCTACTTTAATCTTCACTAAATTATTTCTTCCACTTTGCTTAGTCTTTTTTAAACTTTGTTTTTTAAAGTAAGTAGTTAAAAATACAAATTTCCCTGTAAGCCCAGAGGTTCTGATATCATACTTTTTATTATTACAGTTTTCTGGACATACTACAATTTTAACTTCCAGAGACAGGTTTCAATGTCCTTGCATTGTTTATAGTTTCTAGGTTTGTTGAACTCTGATTTTTCTATTGTTTTGAAATTTAATGATATTTCCTTTTCACCTGAGTTCTTTCATATTTTGTGATTCTTCCACTGACAGTGAAAGGGTTTACTCTTTGTTTTCAGAGTGTGAAACACATTTACAATTGTATCTTACTTTCTTTTCATAAAATGTGTTATTTCTGTGTTCCGTAGCCTCAGGTGTTTTCCAGTGGATCTGTTATGAAATCAGAGGATACACAGTGGTTACAGTATCTAATGTGCTTCAGTATCACTTTATATCTCCTGCAGTATTTTTTTTTAGTGAACCTTGATAATTTATTTAGAACACAGATATTAAAACTTTCATATGCCCGTCTTTACTGTCTTCTTTAATATGATAAAAGTACCTTCTTTCTCATTTCATGGTTTTTAACCTGAATTCAATCTTGATTAAAATTCAGATAAATGATCCCAGCATATACTTTGTTTTGGCACAGTGATTAACTATTTTTCAGTATCAAACTTTCCAAATTATCCTTCAGGTCTATCTCTGATAATATCTGATAATATATTCTCACAGTCGTTGGCTTTAACCCATTTTCATGAGTTGCTATGGCAGCTAGTTTTCTATTATTTCATGTTGTACTGAGTGCTTAACAAAGCTTTATAAAAATGTATTTAGTAATAGGCATGTTTATTTTGTTAAGTGAATTTTTCTTCTAACAGGCAAGAAGGGTGTATTGGCCCCTCACGGTTATCTTTATAATCTTATGTAATTCCTTAATTATCTACCTCTTAAGACACGATCTAGTAATTCCCTAACACATAATCCATTTCTTCTCTCTTCCCATTCATTAACCTCCAGTTTTATATGCTTTTCTAATATTTCTTAGTTTTTATCCCTTTTTTTTACTGTTCCATATAACTCTATTACTTGATGTGTTAATTAAAAATTTTTTTAAAATGTTTATTTATTTTTGAGAGGAGAGACAGAGCATGAGCAGGGGAGGGGCAGAGAGAGAGGGAGACACAGAATCGGAAGCAGGCTCCAGGCTCTGATCTGTCAGCACAGAGCCTGATGCGGGGCTCGAACTCACGAGCTATGAGATCATGAACTGCGCCAAACTTGGCTGCTTAACTGACCGAGCCACCCAGGTGCCCCAATTTTAAATGATCTATACTCAGGCCCCCAGTTTTTAAAGATGGGAAAATGATCACGACTGCATCCACCCCTTGTCTTAGACCTTCTCCTCCCATATGCTACTGAATACGATACACTCTTCCTAAACACCCACATATATAGGGGCTCTGTAAGAAAGTGCTGAAATTATTTCATAGTAGACATCTCTCACTGACCACTCTAATTTACCCTGAAAATTTCTACTCGTACTTAATAACTCACCTGAAGATCTTCTGGTTAGAAATTCTTTCTCTAATGAGCATAGATCTTCTGCTTGCTCCAGCCTTAAGATCACTCCTGGTTTTGTATAGCGATACCCTGTCAATGGGAAATAATTTAAGCCTTGGGCCTGCTGCATGGGCTTCTCGGATTCTGAATGTGAAAGAAGACACATTTTCAGGGATGGCACAACAAAGGTGCTCATTTGAAGCTTTCCCTGCAGAGTGGACAACAAAAACATTTGTGCCCCCCCCCCCCCCCACTGATGTTCAGAAAGTATGAATCTCCTTGAGCTAAATCACGAGCACACATAATACTGAACTTAGCAGGGATCTACGGCATGAGGTTCCCCTTCTCCCATGATGGCGCAGTACCAGGTAACAGGCACTGCAGGGTAAGGATCCCAGAAAAAGAAGAAATAACGGAGTTTCAGATCAGAATATGGTACCAAAACAGAACGCAGAGGTCTCAGGAAGTTGAGGAGACAGAACCAGAAATTCAGAGGCCAACGCAACTCCCATTTGTGGTGTAAGATCCTGGAGACAGAGCTGACTGAAAGAGACCATGAGTTTCTGCGTCTTGAGTCTTTGGCTAAAGACGGTACGTGCAGGGAAACGACGTGCAGCTATGAAAAGAACCACATGAAAACAGATTGAACAACGTTTGAAGTACACGGGGGGGATGGGAAGTCTATAAATAGGAGAGGATATCCCATTACACAGGAGACTACCTACTCTGCTCTTGGAAGTGTGTGTTGTCCTAACAGTGGGGTAAAAAGCATCCTGAAGTGTGTCCCAGACCCAATTAAAACAACAGCAATGAAAGTTAAAAGTGAGTCTTGTGGGTGTCAAACTACATGGAAGCAATTTATGGAATCTGAGAAAAATGTCCCCAAATTTAAAATACAAGAAAACCTAGCACCCAAAATATAGGAGTAGAACCCTGAAAAGAACAGGCAAATACACAGTTACAGTTGGATAAGACACTTCTTTCTCAATTGTTAACAGTACGAGGAGATGGAAACATAATGATGTAGATATATAAGACCTGTAGCAACAGGTCACTTGAATTAATTCTCACTTATAGAACACTAGGTCCAAAAACAAAGGAAAATACTTCTTTTCATGTACACGTGGAATAGTGATCAGGATGTATATTGGTTCCTAACAGAAGTCTCCAGAAATTAAGAAGGACTGAAAATGCAGGGTATGTTCTCCAAATAAGAACTTTTAAAAAATCTGTAACATGTTGACTGCTGGTTTCTGGTCCAACATGTAAGGAACTTACAACAGGTAAAAGCTATAAACTGAAAAATTAATAAAACTTCTGAGATCTATCACAGAACTCAGGTCACAGAGCAAACCAGGGTGCCAAAAATTGGAGACAGGCAGAAACACAGAATCAGAACCTCCCAGAGCAGACACCTGCACAGGAACCAAAGCCAGTTTCAAAAATCTGAACGGTAACTGACAAACGGTGAGAGGCTCAGTGTGGACAAGTCTGAGGGGTAAAGAGTCCAGGGGAATGATACGGCAGGGACGGGGGGAGGGAGTCCTGCTTTTATGAGTTTTGCCTGCAAAAGCCCTACAAAGTGTTTACAGTGAAAATGAGAAAAATCCTCTCATGTTCCCAACACAGGGAAGGGAAAAGAAACCATTTGAAATATGCCAGAGCATTCTCTTCTTAACAAAGCCTGCCCTTAGAAGAACCTATTTACCTAGAGTCCGACCTGCTAAGGGTTTATCAGAGCCTAACCAAACTGGGAGAAGGGGAATTCTTATTTTATTTCATTTTTAAAATTTACATCCAAGTTAGTTAGCATATAGTGCAATAATGATTTCAGGAGTAGATTCCTTAATGCTCCTTACTCGTTTAGCCCATCCCCCCCCTTTCCAATAACCCTCTGTTTGTTCTCCATATTTAAGAATCTCTTATGTTTTGTCCCCCTCCCTATTTTTATATTATTTTCACTTCCCTTCCCTTATGTTCATCTGTTTTGTCTCTTCCAGTCCTCATGTAAGTGAAGTCATATTATATTTGTCTTTCTCTAACTAATTTCGCTTAGCATAATACCCTCTAGTTCTATCCACGTGGTTGAAAATGGCAAGATTTCATTCTTTTTGATTGCCAAGTAATACTCCATTGTGTGTGTGTGTGTGTGTGTGTGTGTGTGTGTGTACATACCACATTTTCTTTTTTTTTTTAACATTTATTCATTTATGAGAGACAGAGCATGAGCAGGGGAGGGGCAGAGAGAGAGGAAGACACAGAATCTGAAGAAGGCTCCAGACTCTGAGCTGTAAGCACAGAGCCCGACGCGGGGCTCGAACTCACAAGCTGTGAGATCATGACCTGAGCCGAAGTCGGCCGCTTAACCAACTGAGCCACCCAGGCGCCCCGTCCACACCTTCTTTATCCATTCATCCATCGATGGACATGTGGGCTCTTTCCATACTTTGGCTATTGTCGACAGCACTGCTATAAACGTGGGGGTGCATGTGCCCCTTCGAAACAGCATACCTGTATCCCTTGGATAAATACCTAGTAGTGCAGTTGCTGGGTCATAGGGTAGTTCTCTTTTCAATTTTTTGAGGACCCTCCATACTGTTTTCCAGAGTGGCTGTGGCTGCGCCAGCTTGCATTCCCTCCAGCAGTGCAAAAGGATTCCTCTCAGAGAAAGGGAATTCTTAAGTCCAGGTCTCTCCAGTCTTCTGCGTGGGGAATGGGCTTCCATGTGCCACTGAGCCAGGCTCCAAGCTCCACGAAGCCAGATGCTGCTTGGTTTGGGACCTCGCTCTACGTGTCTCTTCATCTCACAGTTGATTCACATCCTTCGTCATACCCTTTAATAAAGTGGGAAACCTAAGTGCTACCCTGAGTTCTGTGAGCTGCTGTAGCAAATTAATTAAACCTAAGGAGGAGCTCTTTAGAACCTCCAATCTGTAGCTGGTTGGTCAGAAGCACAGGTAACAGCCTAGAGCTTGTGACTGGCATGTGAAGTGAGGGGTAGGGACAGTCTTGCAGGCCCGAACCCCTAACCTGTGGATACCAATGCTATCTCTAGGAAGATAGCGTCAGAATTGATTTAAATTCTCAGACACCCTGAAGATGCCAGAGAACTGCTTGGTAATGTGTGTGAGGGAACCCCCCATAATGGAATTGGATCTGCACACCCTAAAAGAAGTCCCTGTAGCCATCCCGTGCCACCTTAGCTAGCTATTCATACACCTTAAAAAACTCAGAAGCGCCAATGAAGTTCAGGGTCTAGCGCCACCAAAAGACTGACCTAATTATAGGACTAGTGAACATTTCTCTTGCCCTACATCTCACCACTAGATGAGTAAAGATCCTTCTACCCAGCACATCATGTCCACCTTACAACAAAAAATTATAAGACATGCCAAGAGGCAAGAGATACAGTTTGAGGAGATGGAACAAACACCCGAATCAGAGTTAGATATGGTAAGAATGCTGGAATTATCAGACCAGGATTTTTTTTAAAAACTATGATCAATATGTTATAGGCTTTATCAGAAAATTAGACAACATACAAGATCAAATGGTAACAAAGTGAAGAATTGGAAAGTCTAACAGAGAGGCAGAAAGAAATGCTAGAGGAAAAAAAAAAAACCACTAACAAGTGAATGCCTTTGACGAGCACATTAGCAGACTGTACATGGCTGAGGGAAGGATCACTGAGCTTAAGAACCTGACACTGAAATTTTCAGGGCTGAAAAACAAAGAGAAAAAAAAGACTGAAAAACAATTAACAGAATACCCAAGAATGGTGGCACAACCACAAAAGTATAACATACGTGTAATGGAAATACTAGAAAGAGGAGAAAGGGAGAGGGGAACAGAGCAATATTTGAAGCAATAATGACTGCAAACTTCCCTCAAACTGATATCAGACACAAAAACCATGATTTGGGAAGCACAGAGAACACCAAATGCAAAAAATAAACAACAAACAACAAAACTATGCTTAGGAATGTCATATTAAAACTTCAGAATACCAAAAATAAAGAAAAAATCTTGACAGAAGCCAGAAGAAAAAAACTCTTACCTACAGATGAGCAAAGATAAAAATCATATCCAATTTCTTCTTTTCTCAGAAACCAAGTAGTAAGAAGAGTGAAGAGAAATATTTAGAGTGTTGGGAGAAAAAAACCTCCACCAATGTTTAATTCTGTACCTTCAAAATTATCCTTCAAAAGTGAAGAAGAAATACTTTCTCAGAAAAACAAAACTTGATGGAACCTGTTGTTAGCAGACCGGCCTTGCAAGAAGTGTTAAAAGAAGTTCTTCAGATAAAAGGAAAACGGTACAGGCTAAACTCAGATCTACACAAAGAAAGAAAGAACACTGGAGAATGAATAAGTGAAGGTAGAATAAAAGCTTTTATTTTTCTTACTCTGAATTGATCCAACAGAAAGTCTGCTCTAAATAACATATCCTATTACACATGTCTATATACATATAAGCAGAATTAGTGACAGTCCTGTTAAAAGGAATGGAAAAGAAGAACTGGGAATATTTTATTAAGGTTTCCATACTATCTGAGAAACTGTAGAATATTACTTGAAGCAGACTTAGGTTACTTGTGACACAAAAATAGAAACAAAGGATAAGGGCAAAAAAATAGAAAACAGGAACAAATATGGTAGGTATTAATCCAACTATATAAAAAATCAATTTGGACGTCAGTGGTCTAAATATACCAACTAAAAGACAGAGACTGTCAAGGTGAATCAAAAAACAAGACCCAAGCATACATTGTTTTCAAGAAACCCCTTTATTATTTTTTTGAAGAAACCCACTTTCAATATATAGACACATACAGATTAAGAGTAAAGAGATGGATAGAAATATACTAAACTAACACTAATCAAAAAGGGGGGAGCAGTTATATTAACTTTCAGAAAGAGGAAATTTATCAAGGATAATAAAGAGGGGGATTACCTAACAACAAAGGAGTAAACAGTCCAAAAAGATGTAATGATTTCCTGTGTAGGCACCTAACAACTGAACGTCAAAGTATGTGAGACAAACACTAATAGAACTGCAGCCAGAAACAGACAGAACTCTATTTATTACAGTCAGGGACCTCAACACCCCTCTGTCACAAATGGATGGATCCACCAGGCAGAAAACCAACAGGACACAGCTGAATCCAAGAGCACCATCAATCCACTGGATATAAATGACATCTACAGACTACCTCATTCAATGACAGCAAATTACACATTCTTCTAAAGCTCATAGCGAATAATCTGCAAGACAGACCACACTCTGGGCAATAAACCACACTTGAACAAATATTTAAGAAAACAGAAACCACACAACATATGCTCTCCAACCATAATGGAATTAAACTAGAATTCAACAAAAACATAGGTGGGGAAAAAAAAAAAAACTACTTGGAGATTAAACAACACACTTTAAAAAAGATTTTTTTTAATGTTTATTTTTGAGAGAGAGAGAGGGAGGGAGAGGGAGAGGGAGAGGGAGACAAAGAATCTGAAGCAGGCTCCAGGCTCTGAGCTGTCAGCACAGAGCCTGACATGACCCACGAACCGTGAGATCATAACCTGGGCCAAAGTTGGACACTTAACCAAATGAGCC